CCCGCTAATTTTTTGATTTATTGTAGAGATGAGGTCTCGCCTGCCCAGGCGGGTCTCGAACCCGTGGGCTCAGGCAATCCACTCACTTCAGCCTCCCAAAGGCATGGGATTACAGGCTGAGCCACCAAGCCCGGCCATGTTCGGTTTCTTAACCTGGGTAGAGGCTACAAGGGCATACATTTATGTTTTGTGCACTTTTCTTTATGTGTGTTATATTTCACAATTTAAAACATTAAAAAACTTTACAAGCTCCAAATTACTGTTCTCAACATGCATTCTAATACTGAAAGAGTATAGTGTGCAGTTATCTGCTTAATGTCTGTATTCCCCTCTTAACTCAAAGTTTTATGTGGGCAGAGATCATGTTTTCTTATTTACTGCTGTCTGGAACAAAGCAGACAGTTATACTTGTTAAATGAATGAATGGATAAATTCCTCATTTCTAAGGAATCTATCAGAAATATATAATCATATGTGGGTTTAAGATTTGTGCATAGGGTGTTCGGAGTAAAATCTTGGCAACAAGATTTACACTTAACAACAGGGGCTGGGTAAGTAAATTATGGTCTTCTAATACAAGGAAATACTGTGCTGTCATTATAAGGCAAGCTTTCAAAGAATAACAAGGCAAAGGAAAAGCTTATGATTTTAACTTTTAAATTTTTTTCAATTTTTTTGTGGCAAAATACTATAAAATTTATCATCTTGGGCAACCCTCTTACAGGATCCCTCCTGCTTAGAAGTTTTTGTGTCTTCTTAATAGACTCCTGCTTTCTCACCCTCAAAAAAAAAAAAATTATCATCTTAACCATTATTTCTTTTATTGAGTCAGAGTCCTGCTCTGTCACCCAGGCTGGAGTACAGTGGCACACTCATGGCCACCCCAGTGTCGACCTGCTGGGCTCTGGCGATCCTTCTGCCTCAGCCTTCCAAGTAGCCGGAACTACAGGTGCACGCTACTACACCCAGCTAGTTTTTGTAATTTATTGTAGAGATGAGGTCTCACCAAGTTGCTGGGGCTGGTTTTGAACTCGTAGGCTCAGGCAATCCACTCACCTCGGCTTCCCAAAGTGCTGGGATGACAGGCTGAGCCACTGAGCCCGGCCTTTCTTAACCATTTTTAAGTGTACAGTTCAGTGGTATTAAGTACGTTCACACTGGTGGGCAATAGTTACCACCAGCCACTTGCAGATCTATTTTCCTGCTGCAAAACTGAAACTCTACACCCATTAAAAAACAACTCCCCGTTCACTCCATTCTCATTTTCTTAGGCAACCCCTGTTCTTCTTTCCATATCTATGAATTTGATGTCTCTAGGTACCTCACATAAGTGAAATCAAACAGCCTTTGTCTATTTGTGACTGCGTTTTTTATCCCTAAGCATAATGGCCTCAAGCTTCACCTGTACTGTAGTATGTATCAGAAGTTCCTTAGGCTGGGTGTGATGGGTTACGCCTGTAATCCCAACACTTTGGGAGCCAGAGGCAGGAAGATTGCCTGAGCCCAGGTGTTCAAGACCAGCCTGAGCAACATGGTGAGACCTCATTTCCACAATAAATTGATTAGCGCTTGGGGAGACCTCATCTCTTCAATCAATCAATCAATAAGCAAGCAAGTAAGACAGGTGTGGTGGTGTGTGCCTGTGGCTCCATCTACCTGGAAAGCTGAGGTGGAAGGATCACCTGAATCGAGGCTGTGGCGGCTGGGAGCAGGCCACTGCATTCCAGCCTGGGCGACGGGAGTGAGACTCTGACTCAAAAAAAAAAAAAAAAAAAAAAAAAAATCCTTCCTTTTTAAGGCTGAATAATATTCCACTGTATAGCCGGGCTCGGTGGCTCAGCCTGTAATCCCGCACCTTTGGGAGGCTAAGGTGAGTGAATTGCCTGAGCCCGTGGGTTCGAAACCTGCCTGGGCAACTTGGCAAGACCTCATCTCTACAATAAATAAAAAATCAGCCGGGCGTGATAGTACGCACCTGTAGTTCCAGCTACTTGGAAGGCTGAGGCGGAAGGATCGCCGGAGCCCAGCAGGTTGAGGCTGCGGTGGCCGGGAGCGGCCACTGCACTCCAGTCTGGGCGACAGAGTGAGACTCCAACTCAAAAAAAAAAAAAATATTCCACTGTATGGACAGATCATATTTTGTTTATCCATTCTTCCTTTAACAGACACTTGTTTCTACCTCTTAGTTATTATCAATAATGCTGTCATATACATGGCTATACAAAGATCTCTTAGAGAATGTTTTCAATTCCTTGGGGTATATACCTAGAAATGGAACTGCTGGATCATATGGTAATTCGATTTTTACTTTTTTTTTTTTTGAGTTGGAGTCTCACTCTGTCGCCCAGACTGAACTGCAGTGGCCGCTCTCAGCCACCGCAGCCTCGACCTGCTGGGCTCCGGCGATCCTTCCGCCTCAGCCTTCCAAGTAGCTGGAACTACAGGTGCGTACTATCACGCCCGGCTGATTTTTTATTTATTGTAGAGATGAGGTCTTGCCAAGTTGCCTAGGTGGGTCTCGAACTGAGACTCCAACTCAAAAAAAAGAAAAAAAAAAGAGAAAAAGTTATGTAAAAATTCACTTGTTGGCCGGGTGTGATGGCTTACATCTGCAATCCTAGCACTCTGAGAGGCCAAAGGTGGGAGGAATGCTTGAGCCCAGGTGTTCAAGACCAGCATGGGCAATATAGCAAGATCTCATCTCTACAAAAATTTTAAAAAATAGCCAGGGCTGGTGGTATGCACCTATTGTCCCAGCTACTAGGGAGGCTGGGGAGGGATGATTGCTTGAGCTTGGGAGGTCAAGGCTGAGCTGTGCTTGTACCATTACTGCACTTAGCATGGGTAAAAGTCAGGCTTTGATTAAAAATAAATTGAAAAAAAAATTCACTTGTCAGTGACTATTACTTACCTATTTTAGCCCTTTATAATTATAGAAAAATTAACAAATCAGTATGATTAACTTTCCTTCAGCTATTTGGTTACCAAAAGGCATTTGTTATTGGTTAAAGAAAATTTTTTAACTAAAAACAAAATCTCAAAAAAAAAAAAAAAAATTCAGATATGGCACTACAGCAAAGTTATGCCTAAAGTTGTTTAAAACAATTTTTTTGGTGTGTGTGTTGGAGTCCCACTCCATTGCCCAGGCTAGAGTGCAGTGGCACATTTTTGATTTATTGTAGAAACGAGGTCTCGCCAAGTTGTTTGGGCTGGTCTCAAACCCGTAGGCTCAGGCAATCCTCTTGCCTTGGCCTCCTAAAGCTGGGATTACAGGCTGAGCCACTGACCCCAGGCTACAACATTTTTTAAAAAAGAAAATTGAAGCAATTTTCTAGATAATTTAATGGCAAAAAAAGAAGTTTTCATCAGTTATAAGGATTCTTTTCAGAAAGGTGTTTCTAACTATAACTGCCAACTTTTTTCTTCCTTTTCCCTAAATGCCATCATACTCAAATCAGAAAAGTAAAGATTCTCTGGTGAAGCAGAGGCTAGGACTCAGTTCAGCCTATCCCAAGTCCTTGTGAATTGCTGCCACATAACCTAAAGACTGCAGAAAACACAGTGGAAAAGTCAAATAACTTCCTTGAGCTGCTTCACCAAGTATATATAAGCTGCTGCTTATTCTAATATTCAGACTGACAGTACAGTCTAAGGACATTTTCTCTATCTCCTATTAAGAACCAAAACACTGCACCCCGTCACCATGCTAAAAATTCAGGACCAGTTTCCTTTACCTGGAGCAGTGGATCTCACTGGTGGGGTCTTCCTCTTGGCCAAGAAGTTTCTCAGTTGTGCCTGTTTCATGGGGGACAGTTTAGCTGCAAGAAAGTCATGAACTCATAAATGCCTAAGATTTGGTTTTTAAGTTGTAGGTAGTTGGAACAGAACAAAGAACTAAAAGACTAGGAAGGATGCATTTACCTGGTACTTTGGGCAAGGATCTGGTATGAGATTCTATGGTGGTTTTCAATAAAGCATTGCGCAGGCTTTCAAGGTCACTGTCAAAACTGAAACAGGACAGTGTTACATACAGACTAAGTAAAAGCGGAAGAGCTCTGAGGCTGTAGGGGTTACATTAACCTCCTAAATATGAACACAAGAGAAGAGAACATGCCATCTGGCCAACTGATGCAATCAATCCAAAAGGAGAGAGAGCACAACCTCAATATTATATACCACCCCCACATCAAACATAACACTGTAGTGACTCCATAGAAAGGGCAATTGAAACTATGTTGCCCATCAAAGCTGGACTGGATAAAAAAAAGTGGTACGTGTATACAATGGAATATTATGCAGCCATAAAGAAGGACAAATATATGGATTTTGCAGCAACTTGGATGGATTTGGAGTCAATCATACTCAGTGATTTATCACAGAAACAAAGAACAGAGTTCCATATGTTCTCACTCATAAACAGACCTTGAACAATTATAATGCTATAAGAAAGCGATTGGCAGTAGTGGGAAACTGTGGTGGGGGGTGGGATAGGCAGTTGAGGGAAACTGCTAGGGGAGGGGCATACCTCATTAACAAGGGTACCTGCATGATCAATGTTTATATACCTAACCCTGAAATGTACCCCACATCTTTATAATAAAAATTAAAAAAAAAAAAAAGAACAATTGAAATCTACACATCTGGGCTGGGCTTGGTGGCGCAGCCTATAATCCCAGCACTTTGGGAGGCCGAGGCAAGTGGCTTGCCTGAGCCCATAGGGGTTCAAGACCAGCCTGGGTAACTTGGTGAGACCTCGTCTCTATAATAAATAAAAAATTAGCCAGGTGTGGTAGCATGCGCCTGTAGTTCTGGCTACTTGGAAGGCTGAGGCGGAAGGATTTCTGAAGTTCAGCAGGCTGATGCTGGGGTGGTCGTGAGCGTGCCACTGTACTCCAGGCTAGGCGATGGAGTGAGAATCCACCTCAAAAAAAAAAAAAAAAAAAAAAGAAATCTACACATTTGGCTGAAAAACGGAAACACAAAACTACTTTGGTAACTTCAGAGGTAAACTATCTGCCTGCCAAGGGTGTGAAAGACTCACATTCAAGCAGAATGGCAAACCTGTGCTGCAGAGACAAGCCAATCAACAGTATCAGCTGATTTTCAATAAAACAACACCATCACTACTACAGTATTTGCTGTGACCTACTGAACACCTATTTCATCAGTACTAGATGCTTTATATACTTAATTGAACTTTCAATAATCCCATGAGGCAACTGTCATCCCCATTGATTAGGCAAAGGAACAAAGGATCAGAGAGGATGCAGAACGTGACCAGGATCACCAGGTAATTGACAGCAGAGTCACTTTCAAATCCACATCTGAGCCACTTGAAGACTAACCTCCATTACACCCCAAATATTTATTTGTGCATTCATCTACCTACAGGCACTAAGCACAAGTTCTCTCCACACCTGTGAGTGCTGTTCTGTGAAGGAACAGCCAAGGGAAGGGTCCATGTGGAAGTCTGGTTGTAGAGGCGGAGCTGTTGGAGACTGTCTGCCAGGTGACTGAGCCTCTTTCTCTGTTGGTTGATGATTTCCCGGTTGTTGGCTAGGGTGTTAAACAGCGTCTCTCGCTCTGGCACAAGCAGATGCCTGTTGACAGCAATTACAAAAGAATTAAATACTAATGGTTCTAGTAATCTCCTGCTTAAAAAAAAAAAGTCTACAATGACAACAGTGAAAACAATAAAATGGAGAACCTCCATGGATAAAAAGTTACTAGAAGGCCAGGTACGAGGGCTCACATCTGTAATCCCGATACTTTGGGAGGCACTTCTGCTTGAGCCCAGGAGTTTGAGACCAGCCTGGGCAACACAGCAAGACCTTGTGTCTACTAAAAATTAAAAACTTAGCCGGGCATGGTGGTGGTATGCCTGTAGTCCCAGGTACTCAGGAGGCTGAGGAGGGAGAATTGCCTGAGCCCAGGAGGTCAGGACTGTGGTAAGCTCTGATTGTGCCACTTTACTCCAGCCTGGGTGACAGAGTGAGACCCTAACTCAAAAAAAAAAAAGAAGTTAGTTATTAGAAGAAAAAAAGGGAGTAATAGCCAGATGAAGGTAAAATGGAGTAAGGAAACAACAGCTGGAAATAGGCAGGGCAGGCCCGTAGCTGAGGAGAGCATAAATGAGGTGAAACCTGAGAGGTTCCAGGAAGAAAAGAATAGGAGTGAGATGGGAGTTAAGAATTAGGAAGAGCCATTCAACTGTCCACTGAGGAGATGCATATTTTTCCATATGTAAATTATAAAGAAAACAACCTATGTGAATCAGTCAATTCTTCAGACTGTCAAGAAACAGTGGGACAGCACGGGACTTAGCATCAGGGACATCACCCACCCCAAAGGACTACCACCAAACAGAAATGACAGTAGCTGCCTATGGGAAGTAGGTCCGAGGGTAGAGAGGGACAGGTCTAGATGTTTCTGCTTTTCACTACAAATCTTTTAGTATCTTTAAAATATTTTTTCCTGACTGTATTAATTTGAGGGGAAAAAGAAAAAATTACAGAAATAAAAGCAAAATGAGTGGTCCTCTGTCAGTTACAAACCGAATCTTCTTTGCTATGGTACATCAATATAGTCATATGCCACCTAACAAGGACTTATTCAGCGACGGACCACATGTACATTGGTGGTTCCTTAAGATTAGTAGAGAGCTGAAAAATTCCTTTCCCTAGTGATGTGAGTTACAATTGCCTACAGTATTCAATACAGTATTATGCTGTACAGGTTTAAAGCCTAGGAGCAGTAGGCTCGCCCATATACACTAGGTGTGTAGTAGACTATACCACCCAGGTTTATGTAAGTACACTCTGGGAGGTTTGCACACAATTGAAATTGCTTTTTGATTTCTTAGAACATAGCCATCGTTAACGCATAACAGTATATATATTTTGCCTCTTAACACTAATCATGGAATGAAAAATGCTTAAGCTGAACAAGAACTTCTGTTTTTCTTTCCTCTTCTCCCATTATCTGCTTGAGGGGTCCAGAGCCAGTTGGGTCATTGCCTTTGGTGACAAGGTAGTTTGACATCAATTATTAGAAAAGCATTCTAGTAGGATACGAGGTAACATTCAGAAATGGGCTTAAAACGTAAGTGCCACTGCAAAAAAAATTGTACAGATTTAAGAATTTGAACTCTGCAGAAAGGGAACTCAGAAAAGCACGATAAGTAGTAAATCCACATAGTTGTCATAAAGGAAAACAAAGTTTGGCTTCTCTGTAGCATCATGCACTTAAAAAAAAGCCAACTCTTTAATTAGCAAAGAGAAATACAACCATTAAGCAGAGGAGAATGTTCACACTGTCAGGTCAGGTCACCCTCTCCCTTGTCAGAAAGTAATACATGTAGCTGAACATGGGTGAGAACCAGGGGAGGGAGCTGAGAAATCTCTAAGGCAGCCCAGCTGCCCATGGGGAGGCCACAGAGTCCTTCCCTTGGATAGCACGTTGGGGAAGGGGCTTCTTACCCCTCTCCCTATAACCTATAAGCTGAGGGTCCTCAGGGTAGCCTTTTTAGCCTTTCTCCACATAGCACAATGCACTTTATTCAATTCTGCTTACTAAACTCTAAGCACATTCTAGCCCCGTCCCTAACATCATACTGACCTGTCCCACTGAAAAGTTCTGTGATGCCAGAGCTTAGTCAACAAGCAAATAGACAATTTCATGATTGGTTTCCATACAGGGATAATCACATTAACATTTTAGGGCTGATCTGTTTTTCAATTTCTCATGGGCATTTCATGTGTATTTCACGCTATACTGCATTATATTCCTTCTGGAAAATATATGGCTTAAAACCAAATATCTAGGCATGAAAGCCTAGGCTAAGCCAGGCTCAGTGGCTCAGCCTGTAATCCCGTGCTTTGGGAGGCTGAGGTGAGTGGATTGCCTGAGCCGGCGGGTTCGTGACCCGCCTGGGCAACTTGGCGAGACTTCATCTCTACAATATATCAAAAATTAGCCGGGCGTGGTAGCGCACACCTGTAGTCCCAGCTACTTGGAAGGCTGGGAGCGGCCACTGCACTCCAGTCTGGGCAAGAGTGAGACTCCAACTCAAAAAAAAGAAAGCCTAGGTTTTTCCACTCCTCTGCTATCATTCCTCATAGCCTTTTAATTATCCACACTAATGAGGAATATTTTATCAAAAAGAAAATTTGGAATATACAGAAAAGTACGAAGAAAAAAATTTCACTTAATCCCACCTTGCAGATATAACTAAACATTCTCTTTTCTACATTGTACCTCCACTTTGAGATTAGCCAGGATGCTTTTTTGTCTTACCTTTTACTTATTTTATATTTTATAAATAGTACCTAACATTTAGTGATATAATCGTATATTTTATACATTTCATATAACACAGAAAATATATTTAACATAATTTTCTAGAAACATGCTATTCAATGGTTACAAAGTGTTCTGTAGTTATTCCAAAAAAAAGAGTTGACGATATACAGTCATTCCTCTACTTTAAGATGCTTAGGATGAATTCCATTTTTCACTATTATAAACTGTGCTGCAATTTGAAATCCTTTATGTAAATTGTTGTGAGCATCATCTATTGTTTCTGTACAAACAAGCAGAGTGATTATGTCAAAAAGAATGAATGTTTGTAGGGATGCTCCAATCACCTTTTAAAAAAGGCAACAGCAGCCGGGCCTGATGGTTCACACTTGTAATTCCAGTACTTTGGGAGACGGAGGGAAGAGGATGGATTGCCTGAGCCCAGGTGTTCAAGATCAGCCTGGGCAACTTGGCAAGACCTTGTCTCTACAATAAATAAATAAACTAGGTAGGCATGGTGGCACATGCCAGTAGTTCCAGCTACTTAGAAGGCTGAGGTGGAAGGATCGCCTGAGCCAGCAGGTCAAAGCTGGGGGCTGTGAGTGTGCCACTGCACTCAGGGTTGGGCAACAGAGTGAGACTCCAACTCAAAAGAAAAAAAAAAAAAAGGTAATACCAGTATCTACTCCAGCCCAGTGCAGATGAGAGATCCAGCTCACCTTTGGTTTTTCTTTTGTTCCAGATGCCGATCCCACTCCAAGTCTAGAACATCATTCACATCTTGGACAGCAAATTTCACATACTGGTGAAGGCGCCGAATTTCCTACAAGAAAAAAATTAAAAGCCAAAGGACTCATTTTTCTGGTAGCTAGGGTAAGATGTATCAAGACAGCCAAAATAATTATTAAGTATTTGTATATTGAGACGCATAACGAATAAGGAAAACATAACAGGTTTTAATACAATAATTACAACTTTATAATTAAAATGAAAAACAGAAAATCAACTGCCTTAATAGTATAACAAGCCAGGCTCGGTGGCTCAGCCTGTAATCCCACGCCTTTGGGAGGCTGAGGTGAGTGTATTGCGTGAGCCCGTGTGTTCAAGACCCGCCTGGGCAGGCGAGACCTCATCTCTACAATAAATCAAAAAATTAGCCAGGCGTGGTAGCACATGCCTGTAATTCCAGCTACTCAGAAGGCTGAGGCGGAAGGATCACCGGAGCCCAGCAGGTTGAGGCTGCGGTGGCCACCGCACTCCATTCTGGGCGACAGTATAACAGATAGGAGGTGCAAAGAAAAGGGAAACAGAATGGGTGTGTCTGCCCAGGGCCCCCAGGAGCAAATGTTCTTGGTTAGCTCTCATTTGCAAGCTCCTGTGAATTTTCTCAACATGGTTGGGAGTTTTCCACTGCATTCTGGTATTCCAACAGTATATCCATTTAGTTTTGGCTCTCTCACCCATGAAATTAACTGTATAATAGAGACAAAATTATCCTACAAAACAGTCCTGAAAATAATTCTGAACCTATCTATTCACAGCATAGAACATATAAGTCATCTCCTAGTTGAGGAATAGTCATCTGTTCTCAAAAGCAAATAGTATCAGCAGTAAAAATGGAATTTATCATTATTAAAATTCTTAACTGTTTAACTTACTTTAGGCATGCAATAATTTTCTTTAAATCTGGGGTGATTTTGTTAAACTTCATTGCTATGTGACTTGACTCTCAAAAATTAAAAATACAGCTGGGCATGGTGGCATGTACTTATAGCCCCAGCTACTCAGGAGGCGGAGTCAGGAAGAATACTTGAACCTGGGAGATGGAGGCTGCAGTGACCTATGGATCATGTTTGCGAATAGCCACTGCACTCCAATCTAGACAGCATAGCTAGATATTACTTCTTAAAAAAAAATTTTAAAAAGTGAAGGTGAAGCATTTAATTATGTATGCAAATGAAGATAATGTTCTATATATTAGGAAAAGCTCTTTACATTTATATACAGATCTTACTATGTTTATGTTTAAACATTTTTTTTTTGAATCGGAGTCTCTCTCTCACCCAGGCTGGTGTGCAGTGACTCACGGCCACTGCAGCCTTGACCTGCTGGGCTTAGGTAATCCTTCTGCCTCAGCCTTCAAAGTAGCTGGAACTATAGGCACGTGCCTGGCTAATTTTTAAATTTATTGTAGAGATGAGGTCTTGCCAAGTCACCCAGGCTGGTCTCGAACCCCCGAGCCCAGGCAATCCTCTCACCTCAGCCTCCCAAAGTGCTGGGATTACAGGTGTGATTAAATGTATTTTTAAAATTATTCTTGGATAAGGGCATATGTCCCAAGTGAAAAAGAAAAATAACGTCACTTTAGAAAGAGCCAAGCTAGTTCAAGGGAAGTAGAAGTCAACTTACCAGCAAATATAAATTTCAACTCAATACTTGTGACCACAGGAGGCTCTTTCCACTGACCACTTCAGATGCGATCAGACCTCTGCATTAGCTGACGCTGTTTCTTCTGAATGCCCTCCCAGTGGTGCACACCAGCAAAAACCAATACATCTTTTCAGGCCTATCACACATACTTTTCTGTGGCTTGACTGCTCCTTCACCTGTGGTCACCTAGCAATGTACCCCACATAACATGTACATGCTTATCCTTCTCACTGTCACTTAGCCAGCTGAAGGAATTGTGCACCCTAACCTAGTGGTTAAAAACACAGGCTCTGGAGTGAGACTACCCAGGTTCAAGGTTCTGGGACTTGAGTGGTAAAATCTGGGCAGTTTCAGTTATCTTAATTTACTCATCTTTGTTTTGTACACAGTAGGCACGCAACATATGCTATTATCTACTTAGCACCATGAAAAAAGAAAATGATTCCCTTCGGAATGTGGCAAGTGATCCCAAAAGCCCTCAGCTTGGCAACAGAGCAAGAGGTAGAAAGGGCATGGAAAGAATGTGTAACCAGAACGCAGTGTGGATGGATGCCTGGAGCCGAAGAGCAGTGGGCAGGCAGGTAGCACTCTCATGCTAAGAGGTAGCATCCACAGCGGAAGGAGGATGCATCCGGAATTCCAGAGGGCTTGTGGAACACAGCAGGGGCTCTGTGACCTTTCCTGGAGAAGGGACCATCTCGCTCATTTTCCAGGTAAGTTTATCAGGTGTGGGATGGAAACGCCAGGAAGAGTAAAGTCCTTGGCCAATTTTCTGAGGTAGGAAGGACTCATCACACCCAAAGACTGCATGCGCAAGGTGAGGAGAACATGAGAAAGCAGAAGAGGACCCCCGCTAAGGTTAGAGACAGTGATTCTGGGCAAACCGGAAAATGGAAAATAAAATCTGATCAGTCAAGGCAGAGATTAAAAGTATTTGAGAATTAAAGAGAAAAGCAATTTTGCTAAAGTGTGGAATATAGTTGAGAGCCCAGGCAGAAGGCGGTTTCAATTCTGGTTCCACTCTTATCAACCAACATGACCTTAAGCAAGACACACAGTCTAGGAAATTCAATTTCCTGATCTGTACAATGGGATCAGTAACTACTACCTTACAGAGAAGTTAGCTTCAAAGACTAGAAATAATGCATTAAAAAACACCTGGCAGATTACTGGGCACTCAAGAAATCATTATTACTTTGATAATTATTATTCATGATTTGATTTATAAGTATGTTTCAACAAAGTACTCTTTTTTTTTTTGAGTTGGAGTCTCACTCTTTCGCCCAGACTGGAGTGCAGCGGCCGCTCCCAGCCACCGCAGCCTCGACCTGCTGGGCTCCGGTGATCCTTCCACCTCAGCCTTCCGAGTAGCTGGAATTACAGGCATGCGCTACCAACGCCCGGCTGATTTTTTGATTTATTGTAGAGATGAGGTCTCGCCAAGTTGCCCAGTTGGGTCTCGAACCCGCGGGCTCAGGCAATCCACTCACCTCAGCCTCCCAAAGGCACGGGATTACAGGCTGAGCCACCGAGCCCAGCGAGTACTCCTTTTTTAAGAGATGGTCTCACTCTGTTGCCCAGGCTGGAGTGCCATGGTGTGAACACAGCTCACTGAAACCTCAAACGATCCTCCTGCCTCAGCCTCCCGAGTAGTTGGGATTACTAATTACTCTTTACAATATATTTTAAATAAAAAAAATTAAGTGGAAAAGTGTGCCATGTTCTTTGCCACAATTAAGGAAGCTGATGCCAAGTATCATAAATTATAAGCAGAAAATCAACAGCTTCATAAGGGCGCATCATCCAAATCCACACCTGGAAAAAGACATTGTTTCATGCATTCGCTTTTAAATCTTCTCCTAGGAGAAGATTTACATTCTCCTACCTGAAGCTGAGCTTCACTCTTGGGATCCAGTGGCCTTTTGTAAAGCAAATGGAGGTATCCAGAGTCACAATTTCTTTCATTTTGCTCTCTGGCTTCTTCAACACCAGCAAAGCCCTCAAGTAGAGTTGTTTTCAGGGTGCTTATATCTCCATGAAGCGACTAGGAAAGGTACAAAAAGATATTGATACAAAAAGCTATATTTTCAAGCAATAAAGTCTTTCTGTCTGGATCAAGAAAGGTAGTGTTTCCCAGATATTTAACATGATGAACAGTTGGATATACTTAACAGTCATGTGAAAGAAAAGAATTTCACTGCTTGGAAAGGAAACTGTTTTCTCGAGTTTCTGTAAAGCAAAAGAAACTATGGAGCAAGCAGGCAAACAACCCACAGAATGGGAAAAAATATTTTGCCAACTGTATATCTGACAAAGGCCTAACATCTAGGATCTAGAAGGAACTCAAATGCACTGAAAGGAAAAAAACAAACAGTTCCATAAAAAAGTGGGCAAAAGACATGAATAGACACTTCTCAAAAGAAGACATACGGGCGCCAACAGACACATGAAAAGGTGCTCATCATCACTAATCACCAGAGAAATGCAAATCAAAACCATTGAGATACCACCTAACCCCAGTAAGAATGGCCATTATTAATAAAACAAACAACAGATGCTTGCAAGGATGCGGAGAAAAAGGAACGCTTCCACACTGCTGGTGGGAATGCAAACTAGTACAACCTCTTTGGAAGATAGTGTGGTGATTTCTGAAAGAACTAGAAATCGACTTTCCATATGACCCAGCAATTCCCTTATTGGGAATATACCCAGAGAAACTCAAATCATTCTACAAAAAAGATACCTGCACACATATGTTTGTTGCAGTTCTATTCACAATAGCAAAAACATGGAACCAACAATGCTGTCCATCGAAACTGGACTGGACTATACACACATACACAATGGAATATTATGCTGCCACAAGAACGACACACACATGATCTTCGCAGCAACTTGGATGGATTTAGAGTCCATCATACTCAGTGATCTATCACAGAAACAAAGAACAGAGTACCATATGTTCTCATTCATAAGCGGACCTTGAACAATTATAATGCTATAAGAAAGGGATTGGCAGTAGTGGGAAACTGCAGGGGGTGGGGTGGGGAGGTGGGGAGGTGGGATTGGCAGTTGAGGGAAACTGTCAGGGGAGGGAGAGGCCCACCTCATCAACAAGGGTACCTGCATAATCAGCATTTGTATACCTAACCCTGAATTGTTCCCCACATCTTTATAATAAAAAATTTAAAAATTTTAAAAACTGCTTTTTGTCCTCATTACAAAATGTATTTCCTAATGACTGGAAATCCAGAAAATAAAAAGTACTGACAGTACCAATGATCCTACAATCTTAAGACAAGCACTGTTATGATCCTAGAGAACGTCCTCCTATCAAAGCATGGAGTCAGAAAGTCTTAAATGAGATCCTGGTACTCCCACTTGCTAATTGGGTAATGTTCAACAAATTCACCTTCCTAAGCCCCAGTTTCTGACTTAAAAAACCACGATCGTCTCACTTCAGCCTCCCAAAGTGCTGGGATTAATAATACATATGAAAAGGAAAGTTGTGAGAATTCTGTCAAATGATACAGGTGACGTGCTCAGCACAGTGTCTGGCACACAATAAGTAGCAATAATAGTAATAAGAATGAACACTATTAACAACAAATGTCTAATATTTTTATATTGCATATGCTCTAAAATATTCTTTTTCCCCTAACACTATAAAAGAGTAAATCTCAAATATACCTAAATTAAATGAACAACTGTGAACTTTTATGGAGTGCTCAGTATGTGCAAAAGGAGTAGAAACTATTATTCCATCTTACATATGGTACAACTGAAACACAGAGTCGCTAGATTAACTTACCCAAAGCCACATAAATTATTTGTGCTGAAGGCAGTATTTGAACTAAGGCATTCTAGGCAAACTACTCAGCCACATAAAAAAAAAAAAAAAAAAAAAAATAGTCCCTCCTTTTCCTCCTTTCCCTCTCCCTTCCTTTTTTTCCCGATTTGGAAGTGATTTTAGGCAGGTTTCTTTTTTCCTCTCTCACTCTCTCACCTCTCCCTCCTTTCCCTCTGCTCCCTCCTCTTCCTAAAAAAGAAAAAAAAAATTGGTAGATAAAGTATATAAACCTGTGGAGACAATTATTTTTTTTTAAAGCAGGATTTATTGAGAGGACAGAGAAGCTCCCACAGTGGAAGGGGACCCGAAGGGGTTGCCCCACAATTTTTAAAAAATGCAGTTCAACTCAGGAAAAATATGCATAAACACAAACCTCCGTGGTCTCTTTAATCTCCAAAAGAAAGGTGTGCAAGTCATCTGACTCTGTTCGCAGTGTCTTCATCTCCTCAGAGGTGCCCACTTGGAAACAGGCTTTGGAAGTTCGGGCTTTCAACTCTTCCAACTCCTTCTGAAAGTGTGCAATCTGTGGAGGTCACAAATAAGGAACTACTCGGTCTGAGTGGCATGTAGTAATGTCACTGCTACTGTGCTTACTAACAGCTCAGACTGCTGAGATGAGCCAAGCTTCAATGCTAGAATCAACTAGTCATGTAGGAGTCTGCACTCAGAGCCATTCAAGTCTCACTGTGGAAGCTACCTCCAGACAAAGTCCTCAGCAAACAGATTTACCTCCTCCCCAATTCCAGCCATCACAGGATCTGAATCTTTCCACTGATGTCCCTGCTTTTCCATAACAGGAGGCTGAAGTGACTTCACCTGAAATGGAAGGCAAAGGTTGAAAAATGGGTCTGATACTGCAAGTTATGGCTTCTACAAGCAATAACATTAGTGTCTAACACAGGGAGCGGTACTCCCATAATATAGTCATTGTTTCTTTCTTTTTTTTTTTGAGTCAGAGTCTCACTCTGTCCCCCAGACTGGAGTGCAGTGGCTGGTCCCGGCCACCGCAGCCTCAACCTGCTGGGCTCCGGCGATCCTTCCGCCTCAGCCTTCCAAGTAGCTGGAACTACAGGCACGCGCTACCACACCTGGCTGATTTTTGATTTATTGTGGAGATGAGGTCTCACCAATTTGCCCAGGCGGGTCTCAAACACACGGGCTCAGGCAATCCACTCACCTCAGCCTCCCAAGGCGCGGGATTGCAGGCTGAGCCACCAAGCCCAGCTAGTCATTGTTTCATAATTCATTCTTTTTTTTTGTTGTCAAGGCAGGGTCTCATTCTGTTGCCCAGGCTGGAGTGCAGCAACATAATCATGTATCACCACAGCCTTGACCTCCTGGGCTCAAACAATCCTTCTGCTAAAGTCTCCTGAGTATCTGGGAATACAGGTGCCCGCCACCATGCCAAACTAATTTTTTGGTTTTCTGTAGAGACGAGGTCTTGCTATGTTAGCTAGGCTGGTTGAACTCCTGGCTCAAGCAATCTTCTCACCTCAGCCTCCCAAAGTGCTGGGATTACACTTTGGTAACTAGGTGAGCCAACGCACCTAGTTTCATTCACTCTTTTGAACTGGCATTTACTGGGTCTCTACTTTATATAAGGCATGTTCTAGAAAGTGGAGATAAAGGTCCTACTTAATGGAACTTATCTTCTACTGGGACAAGACGAATAATAAAAAAGTAAACACATCAGATAATTTCAACTGATGAAGAAACAGGAAAACATCAAGAAACTAAAAGGGGGCACTACTGCAGATAAGATAGCCAAGGCTTGCACTGAGAGCTGCCACCTGAACTGAGACTTCAAAAAGGAAAGGAGCTATGGGAGGATCTGGGGAAGCACCTCCCAGGCAGCAGGAAGAACAAGTGCAGAGTCCCTGAGGCAGGAGAGGCCGTGGTGTGTCTGAGCAAAGAGAAGAAGCACATGGGGGTGCGGTGAAATCATGGCTGGTGCTGGGGTCAGGGAGGCAGGCAGTGGCTAGTTGTGCAAGCTCACACCTGGGAGTCTGGATTCTATTCTGGGTGTGTTGAAAAGCTACTCCTGGTGCTTTAGAAGAGTTGAAATGATTATTTGATTTATAATTTAAGATTCCTCTTGCTGCTGTCCAGAGCAGGGATGGGCAGTTAACAAAGAGATGACAACAGCCTCACACAAGACACCAACAGGGGAACAGAGCTGTGGGCTGATGATGCAAGATGCAACAAGGGTGGAGCTGACAAGACCTCCTGCCAGACTGTACTGGAGCAAGTGCTGTCAAGAAAGAAATGAATCAGCCAGGAGCGGTGACTCACACCTATAATCCCAGCACTTTGGGAGGCTGAGGTCAGAGGATTGCCTGAGCCTATGGGTTTAAGACCAGCCTGGTAACTTGGCAAAACCTCATCTCTACAATAAATAAAAAAATTAGCTGGGCGTGATGGCACGTGCTTGTAGTTCCAGCTACTTGGAAGGTTGATGTGGAAGGATCACCTGAGCCCAGCAGCCGAGGCTGCGGTGGGGTGGTCATGAGAGTGCCACTGTACTACAGCCTAGGCGACAGAGTGAGATTCCACCCCCCCCAAAAAAAAAGAAAGGAAGAAAAAAAGAGATGAATCCAGATGCTTGTAGGTTTCAGGCTCCTGCAAACACCTGGTGTGTTGGTGCTAACCTTACTCACTGGAAAGGAAGAAATGCAGGAGACAGAAACCAAGAGCTCTACTTGAGAGACGTTATCAACTGAGATGCCTTGTAGACTATCTGGTACCTACACCAGTTAATTAGCAATAGCAAGACCTTTGACTGCATCAGCATTCATTAGGACAGCAAATTTTATTTCACAAACACCATGTGTCATGCAGCATTCCACAAGCATGAACTATGACCTGGGCATTCACTATGTGTCCAGTATGAGTGCATGTTGGGGAGGAAGATGGGTTAGGGGACACAGAAGGAAAAAACATGACTCCTGTTCTTAGGACACTCAAGTCATCAGATGACAAATTGATATGCAATTCTCTTTACATGAAACTACAGAAATAAACTGAAATGGTAGACTGCAAATCTAAATACGAAAAGTAAAACAATACCATCATACTCAGTGATCACAGAAACAAAGAACAGAGTACCACATGTTCTCACTCATAAGCAGACCCTGAACATTTACCATAATACTGGCAGTAGCACGATACTGCCAGGGTAAGGGGAGAGGGGCACACAACACCAATAAGGGTACCTGATCTCAAACCAGGCAAAGTGAAGACCAAAGGGAGGCCCAAACTTTACCTGTACGATGACCACTTGTATACCTAATCCTGAATTGTACCTTGCATCTTTGAAATAAAAAATTTCTTTAAATGTAAAATAATAAACTTTCTAGAAAAACATGGGAAAATACCATTTTTACCTTGAAACAGAAAATGACTTCTAAAACAAGGCGTGAAAAGCACTAATCATAACAGAAAAAAATTGATACACTCAACTACATTAAAGTAACTTGCATTCATCAAAAGAAACCATGAAGAGAACGAACAGGCAATTCATAGTGTGAAGGCGTTTGCATTATGTGTGTGTATCTAAAGAACTAACTCTTTTTTTTTTTGAGTTGGAGTCTCACTCTGTCACCCAGACTGGAGTGCAATGGCCGCTCCCGGCCACTGCAACCTCAACCTGCTGGGCTCCGGCGATCCTTCCACCTCAGCCTTCCAAGTAGCTGGAACTATAGGCGCGCGCTACCATGCCCGTCTAATTTTTTTTGATTTATTGTGGAGATGAGGTCTCGCCTGCCCAGGCAGGTCTCGAGCCCGCAGACTCAGGCAATCCACTTACCTCAGTCTCCCAAAGGCACGGGATTATAGGCTGAGCCACCAAGCCCGGCTTTTTTTTTTTTAGTTGAAGTCTCACTCTGGGGCTAGAGTGCAGTGGCATGCTCATGGCCATCCCAGTCTCAGCCTGCTGGGCTCAGGCGATCCTTCTGTCTCAGCCTTCCAAGTAGCTGGGACTAGAGGTACGCCCCACCATGCCTGGCTAATATTTTGATTTGTTTTAGTGACAAGGTCTTGCCAAGTTGTCCAGGCTTGTCTCAAAACCCTGGGCTTAGGCAATCCTCTCACCTCCGCCTTCCAAAGTGCTGGGATTACAGGCATGAGCCACCACATGTGATGGAATGAATTCAAAAAACGGTATGAAAAAGCCAAGCTGGGCTCGGTGGCTCAGCCTGTAATCTCATGCCTTTGGGAGGCTGAAGTGAGTGGATTGTCTGAGCCC